CTTTGGAAAGCTTTGCCCCTAGTGTCACATGACCAGAAGGAAGAGGGGCCTGCTTGCATAGACATCCCTCCAGGCCATCTCAACACAGAACACACCAACAACATCTAGACAGAATGACAAAACACAGTCCTGTGACTAACATTATCATATTTTCCATGTATGATTTTTAACACGTTTGCCTGATGAAGAAGCCAGTGGAGCCTCAAAAGCTTGCATCATGTATTTTGTGCATTTTGGTTGCTGCAATAAAAGTATCACTGTTTTGTGGATTTTGGATGTTATTGTACTCTCCATATTCTCTTTTCATTCAATGTCTCTTTTCTGCAACTGTAATCCTGCTATTTCTACCAGCTTGTGAATGCAGCAAAACTCATCCCAGAAAAGTCTGCTCATGCACACATAATTATATGTGTATTTTTGCTAATACACACATATTTCTATATACTGGCTGGAATCCTCTTAGGGACTTGCGTCTTCATAAATGGGCATACGTCTATGGGAATTAGAATTGGCAGTTCCATAATGTCCATATCCAGTAAATGGCTGATGTTACATTAATAAGTATCAGATCCAGAAAAAATGACCCTTGAACAATGGGACCACTGCACAAGAGGACCACTGCACAAGGGGATGCATGTCACATTGGTCTCAGTGCTCACTGCATCTGTCTCAATGCATAGCACATCAATTTCAATGTATATTGGGCACCAGTGCGCACCAGACATTCTTGCCAGTGTCCTGTTACACATCTTTGCAATTCACTAAACAGTTTTTTTAGTGTCTTTGCGATGTAGCTAAGTATACATAAAGTTGCATTACATAGATTGCGATGTAGGATACCAGTGACTCTTTCTAGGAGGTACACCTTATGAAAAGGTTTCTCTGATTATTATTTTTTGCATTTTTTCTAGTATGTACACTTTTTGAAAATATTTTCACCCACAACGCAATGTGCATTCAAGTGCATTCAAATTTCCATGCAACTTACTGTGCCCACTTTTTGAACTGGCAACCAGATCATAAAATTCTGAAATCCTGAAAAGTATTCATTTTGCTACACAAGGACATTTGAGGTTTAGCAAGTCCAATTTTTTACAGGAGCAGCACAGCCAGGGATGGGCAGGGTAAATGTCTCTCTTTCCCCCACTCACTCACTCTTTCTTCTTCCTATATGGCTTCATCTACAAATTCTCCTACACAATTAAAGGTTGCAGTGCTAGTTAATATATAACTGGGATGGGTGTGGTTATTGATCTGTCAAGTTGCTTTGAGGCCAAGCATTGTTAATCAGTCCTCGGCCAGAATCAGCCTGGTGACATATGCAGGTGAAAGTTGCCCTATGTATAAAGAGTGAATCTTGTACACAATGAGAAACAGTTGCCTTCATCTGATGGAGATGGAAGTGAAGAGCCTCTGTACCAGGGTGGGCTATTGTGAAGGAGTTGAGGTACATTTTTCACCCTGCAGCAGTCCTCAGCAGGGTACACCAGAACATCTGATGTGACCAGAAGTAGGATCCTATCACGTCAGGTTTCTTTTTTGCCCAACTTTCATCTGACCTTTTTCCTTCTGTTTTTGTAAACAGAGTATTGGGGCAAATTTTGCCACAGTTTTGACTCATTTGGGGCATTTTAGGTGGAAAATTGCTTGATGTTTTTATATTTGGATGGAGGTCTGGAGATTTGTGGAGTTTCAGGGGCTGCAATTTAGGCTCTGAGTTTTTCATGCATGCCTTGGGCTTTATATGAAAACAAAGGTGAGACCCAAGACTTCTTGAGACTAGGGGCGTAATTCAGCCCTACATAATCAGTCAGCTGAGGTGGCTTCCCAAGTCAGAGGGAGTGAAGCTTCTCTGGCTTTTAGTCCAAACTTTACAAGCATTAGATGGGTCAGCAACCTGGATAATTCCATTAAAGAAGTATGGACTAGGTAAAACTCAGAGTAGATTCACTGTCCTACTGACATGGAAGCCATGAACACTCACTGGTCAGATGAGTAAATCCTGCTGCGTACCATGAGGCCTACTTCCCCAAGGAAGTTGTTATAGGATTGCTGCCTTATTTGTGCAGCCACTACTCTTGTCATTTGACAGTATTCACATTTGAATGGATACTTCAGAATTGTCCCAGTTCAGTGAAGATCATGTGTATGCAAAGCAGGCACAAACAACTCCTGCCATATGTAGGTGACTGGAGCAGAAGTGCTATGTATTGCTATTTATACTGCTCTAACACATGCTGGGCTTGACTGGTTGTGTCTGTTCACATGTGTACGTCTGGATATCAGTAGCATCACTAGGGGTACAGGGAGTGTGAACCCCATCAGGTGACACCTCAGAAGAGGGGTGACACCCCATTGGGCCCTCTTCCCACTGCACCCTCCCACCTTTGCCAAAGTGGCAGAGGCCTCCTCATGATGATACCTTCACTGCCATGATGAAGGAGAGGGCCAAGTGCCTCTCTCCTATCTTTGCTGTAGAAGTGGATGCCTTCTGTCAAGGAAACCTGTGTCACCACAGTGAAAGGGCCAAAGGGCCCTTTTGGCCAGCACTGTCCCTCAGCAGGCCCCCACACCAGGTGACACTAGGGGTGGGAACACCACTGCTGGACACTCCACCTTTCTTCCTTTTGCGCAGGGAGTTATGATTCAGGCCCCTTCTCCACTCTTCCAAGTGGCTAAGAGAAATTAATTTTGGAGCCATAACTCCCAGAACCCATCTGTGGATATATTGACAAGCACTGACAGATATCTATTTAGTTTTGGATCAGAAAAATCAGAATTTTGAATCCCCCATATTATTTCACACTGCTGTCTCTTCTCCCCTAAGTCATCTAAAAGTTTTCCTTTAGCTACACACATGCAAGGCTAGGACAATAGTGGCACTCTAGTCATTCTTACATTCTAATTGAAATCAGCCCTTGTCAGCCCTCCCTACAGTGGGGGTTACAGAAGGTGGAGTTTTTCAGCCTGTGAAGAGCCAAAGGTTCCCCATCCCCTTGCTACAGCATTTCTCTCTGGCTCTTTTTTTAAAAAAAACTTATTTACTTTTTTTAAAGAAATATGTAACAATATACTGAATATAGTTAATGCTCTTACTCAGAATACTTATTGCAGTGCTTAAAAAGACACTGAATGCTGCTGTCCATTTTACCCAAATTCATTACTCCGTATGTTCCCATGCATATCTGGGGCATGTCTTTGTGGGTCATCATGCTGATTGACATAATAAATAATGAAAAACTATGTATAGTGGGCCCTTGGTATCCACTGGGATTTGGTTCCAGGACCCCACAGAGATACCAAAATCTGTGGATATTCAAGTCTATTGTATACAGTGGGCTAGTAAAATGGTCTGATGTTTGGAATATATATATATATATATATATATATATATATATATATATATATATATATATATATATAAAATTGTAATCTGTGGTAGCTTGAATCCGTGGGTACAGAGGGTCAACTATACAACTGACCATGTCTGGGGGTGGGTGCATCTACACTGTAGAAATAATGCAGTTTGACACTAGTGTAAGTGCAGTTGCTCCATCCTATGAAATCCTAGGCTCTATAGTTTTACAAGGTCTTTAGCCTTCTCTGCCAAAGTGCCTCATAAAACTACAAATCCCAGGATTCTTAGGATGGCACCAGGACAGTTAAAGTGGCACTATTTCTATGGTGTAGATACAGGTCAGTTCTTTAGTCTTCAGTTCTTTAACTTTTTATGTTATTTTTTTTCTAATAGGGCCAGGTCCCAAATCTTTGCATATTGTAAGCTAATATTAAAGTTATTCCCAGTTTTCTAATTGTGAGATATTCATTGTCAAAGTCTAAACTTCAGCAGCTCATTCTACCCCAAGTCACTCCACCCCAAGGTGGCTGTCTCACTGTCTTTGTGTGTAGAATCAGTTGTGACATTTCAGAGCACCTTTTAAGCATGCTAATAAAAGTTCTCACTCTCAGTAGCAAAGATTGCCTTGGTTCACTGAATTGCTTATAAACATAAATGGCCCCAACACCTCTCCTCACTCACCTTTCATATCTTTCCAACCTACAGTAAGATAAATAAGTATCACTGCCAACTACAGTGACCCAACAGGAAATGTACATGGCTGATAATATATTAGGAAATCTCCACCTCTTTCCCCCCTAGAGGAAGGAACTGAGGTTCTTGTTTTCTCTCTAAAGCTTTGTGTGATGGTTTAACTGGATGTGAATATGTGGGTGGATATGTAAATGCTCACAATAAAAAGCACTTTCAAGGAGCTAATGTCACATAAAATGAAGGCTTGTGAGATAATGAGAGGTGATCTTGCTGAAGCAGATTTTACCTTTGACCATAGCTCAGTTAGAGAGCCCATGCACTTCTCCAGCTACCCCAAGTTTGTCTCCTGGCATTTCCAGATTAAGTGGTCAAGAGGATTTCCTCTTTTGGGACAATGATGCTTACTTGATTCTCCACAATTGGATCCTGCTCAATTTTAATAATACTGCCATAAATAATGATATGACAAAAGAAGGTAACATGAATTATACATTAAACAAAAGAATAGATAAATTGCCATAAGGGAGCAAAAAAAAAAAAAAATCCCACAGGCATAGCACCAATGTCATCACTGAATCCTGACAACTTCAACTTGGTACAGTATTCTGCAACAGGGTGGATATGAAAGTTTCTCCATGGTCTAATCTGGACAGTCATGGCACAGGATATTTTTCAGGCTATTCCTCAAATGGTTCCTTGGTTCTGAGGAGCCACTGATGCCAGATGTTCATGAAATAGGTGGCTGGGAACTGGCCTATGGAAGGCAGCATATGATCATCTCCTCCTCCTGTCATTGTTGGGGCTGGTGCCACCACAATTGCATATTTGCTTTTACAATGAGGGCTCAGGTGTCTTTTTGCACAAACATTGAGATTGTGAAATTGCACTGGAGTCCATTGTGCAACTAGTTTGCCATTATAGGAGACAATGAAAGACTAAAAAGTGAAGAGCCAGTGTGGCGTAGTGGTTTAAGTGTTTTACTATGACTCTGGAAACCAGGTTTCAATTCCCAGCTCAGCCATGAAACCCACTAGGTGACCTTGGGCAAGTTGCATGATCTCAGCCTCAGCAGAAGGCAATAGCAATCCTCCTCTGAACAAATCTTGTCAAGAAACCCCTATGATGGGCTTGTCTTAGAGTCACCATAAGTCAGAAATGATTTGAAGGCACACAACAACAAGCAAGTTGAGGATCTCTGGGGAGAACAAGGCACAACCTAGGCTTCTCCTGCCTCACTGGATTTGGTGCAGATATGCAGAGACGATCCTCTATAAAGAGGATGTCATGGTGGAGGAGGTGATGCTCTTTCAGTTAACTCAGTTCAAATCATTTTAGAAATGTAAAGATTAATGTGCTCCACCAAGAAGACTTTCTCCACATGAGTGTCTCAACAGATTCCAAATGATCAGTAGTGGTGGCTGGTAGCTTCCAAGTCAGCAGTGAGGTGAATCCCTTCTGGGTTTTTATTGTAAGGAGCTGTCCACAGTATTAAACTCTATCTGAATCTTGGATAGGACTTATAAATGTCAGAGTAAAACCTGGCATTGATTCACTGCTCTGCTGACATGGGAGCCACCACTGCAAGCAATCGTGCTAATTTAGGGCACAAACCTCTCAGAATTTTATGTGTTTGTTTTAGTGGGAGAGTAAGGTATTTGCTTACATCCCTTCTCCCTTTGAATCATGAAAGAGTTTAGCTTGATCATGTCGGATGGTCATTACCAGAGTGATGTGTGCATAGCTTGTTTCTAATGTGAGAGACAAATATAAGTAATATGCTCTTTTGTTGCCAGAATTAGGAACTTTTAATAATAACAGGAGATAGGCTGTCAAAAAGACTTATATAATGGTGGAGAGTGACATAAAATGGGGGATTTATAATGCTGAATTAGCCTTCTGAAACAGTCCTGTACCTTTCATAAAAAGTCCAAAGAGCAATTATTACGGGTGTTTGACTGGCACCGTAAAGTCGTTAGTTCAATCATCATTGACCAATTACTGCTTTTATTATATTTTCTTTCTATTTTTATGATCAGAGAATGGCATTTTTCCCACAATCAGTCCTTGAGCACAAAGACAATAACAATTAAAAAGAAATATTTAAAATCTGGATTTTATCTGCACAAAGGGACCCATCCATCACTATAAAGATCAGTTTTGCATGCAGTTTTGCCTCAGTAAAATATTCTCAAACTATCTACTTTTTTTTGGCAAAGTTTTTTGGGTGGCAGGATTATCTGATATTGTGTGTGTGTGTGTGTTGTTTTTCATATATGAAGAATGTGGGTTTGGCAACTTGCTTAAAAAATTGTTGTTCTTGTTGACAAATGGCCGTGTGTTTACAGAGATGTGTGTGCATAATAAAGCTACAGAGGATAGCAATTATGGGCCAAATAACAATGGTTATGTTGAGGACAGAGAATGTACTTGAATGCAATCCAATATCAGCAGCCAAAAGGAACAGAACCATGTTAAATAGAACTGCTCCTACTAACAGTATCTAAAATCTATGTCTGTGGCTGCTGCCACACTGTAGAAATATAGCAAACTGATACCACTTTAATTGTCATGGCTCAATGCTAAGAAATTCTGGAATTTGTAGTTTGGTGGGGGACCAGAACTCTTTGACAGGGAAGGCCAAATATGACAAAAGCTATAAATCTCAGAATTCCATAGCATTGATCCATGGCAGTTAAAATGATGTCAAATTACTTTTTTTTCCTGCAGTGTAGCAGTAGTCTCTGTCTCCTGATATACAACATCAAGCTGGGGTGTCTGAGGTGAACTAGACAATGCCTAAAGTGGTTGACCAGACTGAATCTTACTACAAGATACTGTAACTATGAAGTCTAGGGAATTAATTATGGCTGAGTTACAATCAGCCCGCAATACAGTCCCAGCATTTATGGAGGTGAGGAGGAAAAAGGACTGTGGAGGCAGAATCCTTCCTTTAGCTATATTTTATTAAATGGGGAAATACACACACACAATGCACATGCTCTCACACAAGCACACAGGAAACTAGGAAATAAAGGTGAAAGATTGGAATAGAAATTGAGGCTCCACTAATGGTTATAATTACCAGTCCTGTAGATGCAGTTTGGTAGATGGAGTGTGGGACTCGGCCATTCCTCAATGCTTGAGGGATAGTGGTGAGCCAGGTCTAGCGGAGGTCAGTGACAAAATGCCTGCCTGCAAACCAGCTAGTCCAAAAATCACTGGGAGTTTGTTTGTTTTTATAGGAGAATCACACCTGGAGCAAAGAACCAGGGGTCTCAGAACCAATGGTCCAAATTGCATGGGGTGTTCACCTGGGGTTGGGGCTTCCAAGGTGAGAATTAAATTAGAAATGAACAGATTCCTGCTTTAGATAATCAACAGAAGTGGGAGACAGGAACAAACATTGCACCTGGAAATTAGTTTACAGTTCCTTGATTAGTTTACCTAGCCTTCCTGAGGTTTGTATGAGTGAATCAGCCCTTTTGCAACTCCTAAACTACTGACATGACCCTTCACTTGGAGGCTTATGGTGGGTATGTTCAGGGTCCTTAAGGGGTGACTCTCACAATATTTCTGATATTAAAAGGGAAGACTTTCAGCTCTTATAACAGTACTGTAGTGGGGTGGCATTTTCCAATTTACCTGAAGCCAGTAGGCTTGCTTAGCAGGCAAAGAGCAAATCACACAGAACACAAAACCTTCTGGCCTCTGAAAAGGAGGTAACAGCTGGTGGGTTCCTTGTACTGCCCACAGAACACCAGACTTCATCTGTGCCCTCAGACTATTGAATAGTAGAGCAGTACCTATAGAAATCCAGACAAAGAGGCAGTAAGGAAAGAAAAAGAAGAAGAGACCTCTATCAAATTTGATGGAAACAAGAAACATACAGAAGAGTAAGGAAAAAGTAAGAAAGGATTATTATTACTAATATCAATAGTAATAGTTAATAAGTATTGATAATTAAGTATTGTCTCCCTCCTCCATCCCCACTCCATTGGGACTCAGGAAGCAGCAGCAGCATC